AATTTTCGCATCCACATGGCCTAGTGGATTTTTCCACTGAGTTTTCTACGAATCTCTACCCCAAAGTTCGATTCCTGCGGGTGTCAAAACTTTTTTGATTTTTGTGAGGACCTCGAAAAATGCATTTGCCCTTTTGACACAATTTTCAGTCTCATTTTTGGGCAATTTTGACTTATTATTGCTGAAAATACGCAAAAATACCAGAGTTTAGGATTCAAAGTTACTTAAAACTGCTTAAAACTGCTCTAAACCCCCTAAAATCGCGATTTTCTACCACTTTGAATTTTTGCGTTCAGATGGCCTAGTGGATTTTTCGACGAAATTTTTACCAATCTCAACACCAAAGTTCGATTCCTCTGGGTGACAAAATTTTTTTGATTTCTGTGTGGACCTCGGAAATAGCTTTTTTAGCTGTTTTGGATGCTTGAAAACTATTTTTTCAAAAATTTCAGATTTTTTTAAATGCTGAAATTTGAAATTTTGAGGTTCCAAGCATCCCAAAGCTGCTAAGAATGCATTTTCCGAGGTCCACACAAAAATCAAAAAAGTTTTGCCACCCAGAGAAATCGAACTTTAGTGTTGAGATTGGTAAAAATTCAGTGGAAAAATCCACTAGGCCATCAGGGCGCGAAATTTCAAAATTGCGAATTTTGGTATTTTTAAAGATTTTTGAACAATTTTAAGTGGTTTTAAGCACTTTTTCAATGTTTAGAAGCTCTAAAAATGTTAAAAAGCATTATTTTTGGCCATTTTGAGCAGTTTAGTAGGTCAAGAGAGTGGTTTGAAAAAGATTGAGAAAGAGAGGAAAATCGATATTTTGTTGGCATTGAGAATTGCAAAAATCAAATATTCGAATCTTTAAATCCAGGTTTTTAAGCCTAGAAACTAGAAGAAAATGGGTATTTTCAACCTTTTTTGACCTCTAAAACTCCTAAAAATAGCCAAAAATGATGATTTTCGACATTTTTAGAGCTTCCAGACACTCTAAAACTGCTGAAAACCGCTCTAAAACCCTTAAAAATTCCAAAAATCGCGATTTTCTACCACTTTGAATTTTCGGGTTCAAATGGCCTAGTGGATTTTTGCACCAATTTTTTACGAATCTCAAGACCAAAGTTCGATTCCTCTGGGTGTCAAAACTTTTTTGATTTTTGTGTGGACCAAGTTAAGACCGTTTTTGAGCATTTTTAAAGCTGAAATTTCGAAAAATCTGAAAATTTCAGTCAACATTTTTTTTCGCACTTTTGCATTTTTTTTAGCCCAATTTGGCTATTTTTCCGCTAAATTTGAACCAATTAAAGGTAATTAACTCCAAAAATCAAAATCTTATGTAGCAAGAATGGACTGGCGAACTGCATGGTGTCGGACACAAATTTCAGTGTCGAAGCCAGTAGGAATTCCCATCGGAACATCATGAAAAGCGATGAAATCACTGATGGCAGAATCACTGGGGTGGTCCGTTCGGCTGGATCTTGTTTCGCCCAGATGCTGTTGTCGTGGATGTATTCTGAAAGGAAAAAAAATTGTGAAAATTAGCTGAAAATAGACAAAAAACCGGATTTTTAGGCATTTTTAGAGCTTCTAAACACACTGAAACTGCTGAAAACCCGTTAAAAACATCAAAATCGCGATTTTGAATTTTCGCGTCCAGATGGCCTAGTGGATTTTTGTACTGAATTTTTACCAATCTCAACACCAAAGTTCGATTCCTCTGGGTGGCAAAACTTTTTTGATTTTTGTGTGGACCACGAAAAGCCGTTCTGGATGCTTGGAACCTATTTTTTCAGAATTTTCAGATTTTTTTAAATGCTGAAATTCGAAATTTTGAGGTTCCAAGCATCCAAGACTGCTAAAAATGCATTTTCCGAGGTCCACACAAAAATCAAAAAAGTTTTGACACCCAGAGGAATCGAACTTTGGTGTTGAGATTGGTAAAAATTCAGTGGAAAAATCCACTAGGCCATCTGGACGCGAAAATTTGAAATCGCGATTTTTGGTGTTTTTAGGGATTTTTGAGCAGTTTTAAGTGGTTTTAAGCAATTTTTCAATGTTTAGACGCTCTAAAAATGTCAAAAATCATCTTTTATGGCCATTTTCAGGAGTTTTAGAGGTTAAAAAGGTTCGAAATATCTTATTTTTCCAGTTTCTAGGCTTAAAAACCTGGATTTTTAAGCTCAAAATTCCAAATTTTCAGCCAAAAAAAAAACCCAAAAAAATATCGATTTTTTCTTTCTTACTCAATCGCTTCGGCTCCCAAAACGATTCCCACAATTCACTAAGGAATTTCGAGCTGCTCCGCTCGTTGAGCTCAAAAATGTCGTCGATCTGAAACTAGATAATTAGCTAATTAAGCCTAATTGAGCTCTAATTACCTCCAAATCCCTCTTGGCTCCTGTCCATGGTACTCGATTGAACCACCAAAGTGTGAGGCGATTCAGAAATGAGCTTTGTAGTTCTGGTGAGTGAGCCTGGAAGAGAAAATTGACCTGGTGGCCGAGTTTTTGGGATTTCTAGGCCACGGGAGGTTTCTAGGCCAAATATGGTGCTTTTTAGGTCAAATTTTCGGCACTCACCCCCTTGACAATTCCACTTCTCGGATCCGCGAAACACATCATGAACGTATAAACCACTAGAACCGCGTACCAACTCAAATAGGACACCGATAGGGCGGATCCCAACGAAACAGTACCCTCGTTGTCCATTCGAATCCATTGATAGAATTCTGGCGCGCCGCAGACGCAGAAAATGATGGCGGTGACGTGTTGAATGCCCGATGAGACGAGACCGCAGCGAAGACGTATGAGATGCACCAGGAATGTACCCGTCTGGAATTAAACTAATAGCTGAAAATGGCAGAAAATCCTTGGAAAACCCCAAAAAATCCCATAAAGAACGAGCCATTTTGACCCGATTTTAGCGCTAAAACAGCGATTATTGACTGATTTCGCTGTGATTTTCGACAGTTTTAGAGCTTCCAGACACTCTAAAACTGCTTAAAACCGCCCTAAAACCCTTAAAAATATCAAAAATCGAAAAAAAAAATTTCGCGTCCAGATGGCCTAGTGGATTTTTCCACTGAATTTTTACCAATCTCAACACCAAAGTTCGATTCCTCCGGGTGTCAAAACTTTTTTGATTTTTGTGTGGACCTCGGAAAATGCATTTTTTGCAGTTTTGGATGATTGGAACCATAATTTTCAGAAATTTCAGATTTTTTTAGCTGAAATTTGAAATTTTGAGGTTCCAAGCATTCAAAGCTTCTAAAAATGCATTTTCCGAGGTCCACATAAAAATCAAAAAAGTTTAGACACCCGGAGGAATCGAACTTTGGTGTTGAGATTCGTAAAAATTAGGCGCAAAAATCCATTACGCCATCTGAACGCGAAATTTCAAAATTGCGATTTTTGGTATTTTTAGAGATTTTTGAGCAGTTTTTATGGGTTTCAAGCACTTTTTCAATGTTTAGAAGCTCTAAAAATGTCAAAAAACATTATTTTTGGCCATTTTGAGCAGTTAGTAGGTCAAGAGAGTGGTTTGAAAAAGATTGAGTAAGCGAGGAAAATCGATATTTGTTGGCTGAAAATTGCGAAAAAAAATTTTTGAATCTGAAGATCAAGGTTTTAGAACCTAGAAACTAGAAGAAAATGGGTATTTTCAACCTTTTTTGACCTCTAAAACTCCTAAAAATAGCCAAAAATGATGATTTTCGACATTTTTAGAGCTTCCAGACACTCTAAAACTGCTGAAAACCGCTCTAAAACCCTTAAAAATTCCAAAAATCGCGATTTTCTACCACTTTGAATTTTCGGGTTCAAATGGCCTAGTGGATTTTTGCACCAATTTTTTACGAATCTCAAGACCAAAGTTCGATTCCTCTGGGTGTCAAAACTTTTTTGATTTTTGTGTGGACCAAGTTAAGACCGTTTTTGAGCATTTTTAAAGCTGAAATTTCGAAAAATCTGAAAATTTCAGTCAACATTTTTTTTCGCACTTTTGCATTTTTTTTAGCCCAATTTGGCTATTTTTCCGCTAAATTTGAACCAATTAAAGGTAATTAACTCCAAAAATCAAAATCTTACTGTAGCAAGAATGGACTGGCGAACTGCATGGTGTCGGACACAAATTTCAGTGTCGAAGCCAGTAGGAATTCCCATCGGAACATCATGAAAAGCGATGAAATCACTGATGGCAGAATCACTGGGGTGGTCCGTTCGGCTGGATCTTGTTTCGCCCAGATGCTGTTGTCGTGGATGTATTCTGAAAGGAAAAAAAATTGTGAAAATTAGCTGAAAATAGACAAAAAACCGGATTTTTAGGCATTTTTAGAGCTTCTAAACACACTGAAACTGCTGAAAACCCGTTAAAAACATCAAAATCGCGATTTTGAATTTTCGCGTCCAGAGGGAAATCGGCTAGAAAGTCGAGTTTCTGGCGATTTTTAACACCGGAAAGTGATTAGCGATGTCTGCGTCTCTCACTCTCTTGCCCTCTGAGGAGGAGCCCGGCATAAAGAGCCATAACTCGGCGGAAAATCGGAATTTTTGAACAATTCGAAAAGTATGGGATGAAGCTTTGAAAAGGCTACAAAATGATATAAAACACGAAAAGCTACGATTTTGGGATATTTGAGAAATTTCGAACATTCATAAATCCCAAAAAAAAAATTTTTTTTTTCGAATT